TATCAAGGCCAACTGTATGGCCTTATACATCCAAAAGGGAAGTATAACCAAAGTATAATTTCTTAAGAGTCCATGTGCATAGCTAAAGGCTACATAATAAGCAACAATGCCAGATAGGAGATACCTTCTTTTGAGTTGTTGGCCAGGGTGGCCAAAGGGACTCCCAGATAGTAACCCAGCATAGAACTGGGAAAATGAACAGCAGACCCCAATCTTATCTAAAGGAGTATTGACAACTGATTGCTGCTAGAAGAGGATCAGCTGACCCTCCTAAAACAAAGGCCTCTAGATAGGCTGACTAGATTCAACAGAAGGGCAAGTAGTGGGGATTGGCTGAGGTGCCGACAACACAGAAGACAGTAGCAGGGATATCAGAGTATAAGGGCTCTAGTGGGGGGGAGAGGCTATGGGAGGGTGCCAACTGGGAAGTGGATGTATAGTTGAATAAGATGGTTTGGGATGTTCTGTGTGATATACACATACACACAAAAAATCAACAAATTAAAAAAAAGTATTATATTTGAGGAAGCATGGAAATTTACGTCATGCTAAAGAGGCGATAGACATTATCATTGAAATGTACCCGATGACTTCATAGACATACACAGGCGCCAAGGGTCCAAGTGCAACCGATTATGACTAATAATAATCAGATGCATACAGATTAGAGATGCATGTGCCAACATCTCAGTGTTTATAGCAAAAACAATGAGTCTTTCTGCAAGGAACAATATATTCTAAAATGAAATGGAGTCTTTTTTAAAGGTTAAAAAGCTCATTCAATTTTATGTTTTACAGGGCTTATACTGGGTTCAGTATTATATAACTGTATTAACTCAACTGTGAACCTAGAAACTTGCACTCACTTGCGAAAGAGATGTACTCTTGCTCTGGAGTGTGTTACTGAATATGTTAAAGCTGTAATAAAATGCTTCTTCTAATCACGTAGCTATTAAAAATTTTTTTAAAAACTGGAAAAAGCAGCTGGGCGTGGTGGCGCACACTTTTAATCCTAGCACTCGGGAGGCAGAGGCAGGGGGAACTCTGTGAGTGCAAGGCCAGCCTTTTACAAAATCACAGAGGGCAGAATTGGTCTTTGAGGAGTTGCTAGTCTTTTGTTTAAGAGTTTGGTAAATATCTTGGTAGAGAAGTGGATGAAACCCAGGGTTCTCACAGCAGGAGCAGGTCATCTCTTCCCCCCAAACTGGCCCTGATCAGGAATATCTGACTGCTTAGTCACCTCACCTACTAGCCTGCCAGCTTGCCAACCTGCCAGTCCATCCTTCCTACTACAATATTGTATAACTGTAATAATTCAACTGTAAACCTAAAAATTTACAGCCAATTTTGAAAGAGATGTATCTTAGCTGAAGAAATTGTTATTTAATATGTCAGTGCTATTGTAATGAAATGCTTCTTCTAAGTATGTAGTTATGAAATAAAAAAAATTGGTTTCAGAAACGAAAGTATTGAAAATCTGTTTGTAGTATTTGTTAAAAATAAAGATAATTAAGCCTAAAAAAAAAAAAGTGCTGCTGTCATGTGGAACATGGATTGTTGAAGACAAGAGTGATCCTAGGAGGTTCTGATTAGTAAGCTAAGCTGGAAATGATGGTGCCTTGGATTAAGATTGAATTGATTCTGAATTGTTTATGTTTTCAGGAGAGTAATGGGAGTGAGAACTTGTGAATCCAGATGTCTGCTTAGTGGTTCCAAGGGTGAAGTTTGCTGCATTGAGCCTCTGCATTCTAAGCCTGAGTTGAAAGATCATCCCATCACACAGTTTTCATTATTGGCCATGGCATCCCTAACAAAGGTAGGTAGGTGTGTTTAGAAGAAGCTCTTGGCTTTTAGAAGCTTTGATGTTTGAAAATTGCAAGGTAAATAATGAAAATAACATATATTTTTTCCTGTAGATCCTGGTTATTGGATTGAAACCATCCTTGAAAGTGTGGATGACTTTCCCCTATGGACGGGTAAGTATGCCTCTCCATTTTGTTGGCAAAAGGAAGAACTAAGTCGGGAGGATGGAAGAATTATTTGTAAGGGTGAATTCTCTTGAGAGTACAAAATGTAGATGTGGAATGGAAGTGAGTGGTCTCAGGTTATTGGTTAGATTCACCTTAGAAATGGAAGCAGGAAAGATTGGTGTCTTGAGAATCATACCATGTTACACTTCTGTGCCTTTGATGTTTGAAGCTTTTCTCTCATAAACAACATAAGGTTGGCTTTTGTTTTTAACTACAGTTTGACAGTTTTTTATATTACTGCCCTGGTGCTGTGTAGTTAAACCTTAATTCATTCACCAATTTTCCTAGCTTCATTCTCTGCTCTTTAGAGGCTGGTAAGGTTTCCTTCTTGGATTTAAGACTGATGGATAAGTTGATGTGCTGAATCCTAGCCTTGATTTCCAGTGTTTGAAGAACACTGTGTGATAGCTGTGCTGAGGCAGGATTATGCTCACTGTCTGTGTTTTGAAACCAAATTTCTGATCATGTAGACTCCACTGTAGTATCCAGTATAAATTGCTACTACACATGCTTTCCATGGTTTCTACCCTTGATATGTTCTTTAGAAGATGTTATTTTTGAGAAAGTACAGATGGCCATATGTAATTATGGGTTTTACATCCACGAATTTAACCAGCAACACATCAGAATATTCAGAAAAGGGCCTGGAGAAATGGCTCAGCAGTTAAGAGCACTGACTACTCTTGCAGAGGACACAGGGTTGGTTCCCAGCACCCACATGGCAGCTCACAATCATTTGTAACTCTATTTCCAGGGGATCCAGTGCCTCTTCTGTACTCTATGGGCATTGCACGTATGGGTGTTCTTACATGCATGCAAGCAAAACACATAAAATAAAAATAAATTAAAAATTCATTAAAATTTTACCTCTATACTGAACATGTACAGACCTGTTTCCTTGTCACTAAATGATACAGTGTAACGTCAGATTAACACAGATTACACAGGGCATGGTGGTTCACGCCTTTAACCCAAGCACTCAGGAGCTAGAGGCAGGCAGATCTCTGTGAGTTCAAGGTTAGTCTGGTCTACATAGTGAGTTCCAGGCCAGCTGGGGCTGCAAGGAGATCCTGTCTCAAAAAGACCAAAAAAAAAAAAAAAAAAAAAGAAGTACACAGATTACATACTAATATTTTGCCGTTATATATTCAACACGAGCATTACGGATTTTGGCATCTAAGCGTGGACCTAGAATGAATTCCCCATAGACAGCCCAGTTTCCCAGGTCTTTGGTGTTTGATGTTTTTAAGAGAGTGGAGTGTGTGTACAAGGAGGGATGTTAATGGGATGCCATGGGAGTGATGGGTGCTGAAGAACCCTGGCTAATTCAGAAGGCAGCAACATGAACACTGAAGGAGAGCACTCTTGTTTCTTTGTTGGCACATTGTATGTCTTTGAGCCCAGGAGGAGCAGGTTTGTCCTAGGCAAAGCTGGCTGAGGTTGGCATCATTGACTAATTGACGTTTTTATCATGATGATACATGTTGCATCTTTTTGTGCATTTTCCTTCCAACATTTTATTACAAACATTTTTGAACAGAGGTGTCAAAGAATTTTTAATTAAATGCCCATATGCTTGCCACCTAAATTCTGTTATTACCATTTTATTGTATTTTCTTTATTACATATCTGTGTATCTATCCATCTCTCTACACATCAAGCTATTTTAGTTTTTTTATGGATTTCAGAGTAAATTATAGAAACCGATATACAAATCTTGAGTGTACATTTGTTGAACTTTGACAAATGCATATACTTTTGTAACTCAAACCCCTATCAAGGTATAAAATATGACTGTCACCCAGAAACTTCCCTGTAACACTTCCTAGTCAGTCCCTGCTTCTTTGGAACTTGTGTGAGAAATTGGGGAAGATTTAGCAAAGAGATGGTCAGATGATTTTTTTTCCAAAGGTTTATTTGCTTTTATTCTGCGTGTATAAGTGTTTTGCCACATGTGTGTATGTGCACAGTGTGCATGCCTGCTGTCTGCAGAGGCCAGAAGAGGGCCTCAGATCCCCTAGCTGCCATGTGGGTGCTGGGAACGGAACCCAGGTCCTCTATAGGAGCAGCACTGAGCCATCTCTACTGCTCTTCAGATGCTGTTTTTAAACAGAATTTTCTCTTTGTCCTTTTGTCAGTTGTGATGAATGTTTCCTTTTGTTTTCTTTTTACATAGATGGATCCTTCCAGTGTTCCATTATTGGCCTGGCACTTTGTGGCAGTACATAACTATGTGAATCCCATGCTTGCTTTCTGCAGAGGAGATGTTGTTCATTTTCTATTGGTAAGTCATAATTTGATGGTAGGACTGTTGTAAAGCTTCAGATCTCAATTTTTTTTCCTGATTCTTTGGTAATTTAATGCTGTATCAACAACAACAACAAAAAAACCCAACCAACCAACCAAACCCCTATCTTACTGTGGTCTGTTTAATTAAGAGAGTGGTCTATTAATTAAGGCATTAATGCTCAAAATGGAAAAAGCCTGAGTACTCTTGGCTTCATAGTTCTTCATTGTTTATTACTTGGTTCCATCATCTTAGGCTAACAAGTAATTAATGAGTTGTCTATATGTGTGAACATGTCTGTTCACACACACAGACATCGTGTATGATTGTGAGCATGTCTTTATTGATGCTGTCTATACATATATCTGTGCATTTGAGAGCAAGTACTATTTGAGTAGTTCCTGTATTCTCTGCACTTTGAGTACAGGACACAAATGAAGGAAGTACAAAACAATTATTCTACACACCTTATATATTGCTTGAAATAACTATTGCCACTAGAAAACCAGTGTTTGTTGCTGTGAGAGTTATAGTTTAAATATCAAACTATATGTGAGAATTAGAAATTGAAAATAAATTAGAGCACAAAGACATTGGGATATTGTAGAGAGGTATACAAGGCTTTTGAAGATTTTAGGGAAAGTTGAGGGACTGAAGTCATAGAGCCAAACATGTACCTGTGTAATCTCTCCTTGAGTGTCTTGAGTGTCTTGCTCAGTGAGGCAGGTGCACTACTGTGTACCTCATTTATCCAGTCAACACTTGGGAGTCCCCTTTCAGATACCTTTCCCCCTTCAGATGTGCTCCATCACGAAGTCCTTTTTCACTCTACCTCCATAATCTCTTGGCTTTGTACTTTTTGACTCCTCCATGGTTGATTACTTCCCCAATGCAACCACATATATGTCTGTTCTAGATTCTGCAGTAGCTTCCCAGCCAGTGTCTGGCCTGTGTGTCTTTACTTGTGTAGGTGCCTCTTCCACTTTGTCCTCGCTCACAGTTACCATTGCCTTCTCTGGCTTCCAGCTACATAGTCCTATAAGGCCTTTCCTTTTAGAACATTTCACACATTTGAAATCTCTTATATAGTGCTCTTCTTCCTTCCTAAGCCAAAAGCTTTCTAAGTCTAGAAACTAGCTCTATGCTATATTAGTAACCACTGGACAGCACCTGTGCATAGAGATAAGTATTTATAGAATTACTGATGGGATGTAAAATTGGATATATGGGGTAGATTTAGACCAAGAGTGGGGGAACTATGACCCATGTACCAAATATCTATTTTGGTGAATAAAATTTTAGTGGAATATAGTTGTGCTCATTCATTTACATTTAAAAATTTTGTTTGTTTATTTTGAGATAGGCTCTCATGTATGCCAGACTGACCTCAAACTCACTATGTAGCTAAGGCTGGCCTGGACTCCTGATTCTCCTGCCTTTACCTCTCAAGTGCCAGGATTACATGCACCATGCCCAGTTTACATGTTATGATTGCTTTCTCATTATAGTTGTGGAATTAAATAAGTACAACAGACTATATGGTCTGCAGAATTTTAAAATACTTACTGCACAGCCCTTCACAGAAACGTTTGCCAACTAAGTTATATATTGGCCTATATTGGTAATGGGGAAACATTACAGATATTCAGGTTCTTAGATAAAGTATATAATTAATTAATAGTTAAACATTAATAATTAAGATGCTGTTTTAGGAAGATCAGTCTAGAAGTATCGCAAAGAATAGATTATAGAAGATAGGAGGTTTTGCTCTTATAATAAAGCTGGGGTGAAGTGGTTAAATAAATGCAGTTGCAGTGAGTTAGGAGATGCTATTTGGAAAGACAGAGCTTCTCAATATACAGGGTCTAGGAACTGAAAGGCATTAATCAGAAACATCTCTATGTTATAGTCAAGAAATATTCAGAAAAGTTGCTTGGTAAGAAATGATTAGGAAAGATTTTGTTTTGTTGAATTGGAAGTGAAAATGGTACTTCCAAGTGTTATATCAGGAGCTGTCTAGTGAGCAGAGGGCAGGCACAGTACAGGTGAGCATTTCAGGTAGAGAATAGTTGAAGGTCTGAAAATCAAAAGAGCATACATGATGTTAGCTCTTACTGTAACAAAAGGAACACAATATTTTCTCTGCCTGAGTACATGTACACAGTTCTGCCTGTCAGAGCACCCAATCAGGACATGTGTGTTACCACGTGTAGGGGACAAAGAAACTGAACTGTAAAAGGAAACTAACAGAGGGCGTAAAAGGCTGGGTCTTTCTTTGTTGAAGGCTCTTCTTTTGAGAACTAGCTCACAGAGCTAGGTGCCAGCACAATAAACTGCTTCCTGGAGGGAAGAAATGCCTTGGTGTCTCCTCTCTGCACATAGCACTTGGAATACCTCAGTAATGTCATAGTCTTTAACACATGGACCATTGGGGGACACTTAACCAAACAACATAACTTTGCAGGACATTCATGAAAGGCAGAGGGAAAAGAAAAGGCAGCAGGAAAGACAGTTCTATTTTTTTCTTTTGATCTTTTTGAGACAGAGTCTCCCTGTAGCCCCAGCTGTCCTGGAACTCACTATGTAGACCAGGCTGGCCTTGAACTCACAGAGATCTGCCTGCCTCTGCCTCTTGAGTGCTGGGATTAAAGGCGTGCACCACCATGCCTGGCCTTTTTTTTTTTTTAAATTTATTTTATTTTATGTGTATGCATGTATTGCCTGCATGTAGGTAAGTGCACCCGTCTCGTGCATTGCCCATGGAGGTCAGAAGAGGCTGTTGGATCCCCTGGGACTGGAGTTACAGTTATTACTGCCATGTGGATGCTGGGATTCGAACCCAGGTTTTCTGCAAGAACAACCAGTGTTCTTAACTGCTGAACCATCTCTCCAGCCCCAAAAGGCAGTTCTTATAAAGACACGTAGATGAGGAGAAGAAAGGGACAGTATGACATAATACAGAAGAGCACAGAAAACCTTTGGGATCATATCAGTTCCACAGTAATACCGTTACCAGAGAATGATCATGGAAGGTAGATGGAGAGATGACCACTGGACATAGTGAGTATGGTTTGTTAGAACCTTCTCAGATGATCAATATCCATGGAATGGGGTGGAAGGTAGATGAGCTGTTAGAGAAATGGGTCTCTAGAAGAGCAAATTCATAGAATCATAGTGCTCGGATTTGAGAGGAAGGAGTACGATTAAATCATGCCTATAAAAAGTAAATCAAAGGCCTAGAGAGATGGCTTAGTGGTTAACAGCACCTGCTGCTCTCGCAGAGGACCTGGGTTTGGTTCCCAGCCCTCACATAGTAGCTGACAGCCATCTTTAATGCCGGTTCTGGGGGATCCAGCGCCCTCTTCTGTCCTCCACAGGCAGTGCATGCACTTACCTGCAGGCAAAACATTCATATACATAAAATTTAAAAGATTTTGAAAAAAGAAGTAATTCAAGGAAAGTCTTTTTAGAGGAGTGGTTTTTATTTTTGAAGATAAGGGAAATTGGAAATATGTTTGAGAGCAAAAGAAAGAAAAAGGTTTTTGAAAAAGAGTAATTGAATATACTAGCAGGGTTGGAAGGGGCAGGACT